AATGGATCAAACATTAGAGATCACAATATAAACTTAAACATTTCTCATCAGATTCTTCTAAAGCCAAATTATATCTGCACAGTTATCCACCTTCATTTTGAAGCTCTAGACTCTCACTGTACACCAACAATTGTTTCATTTTTATTTCTTCTAAGGAATTTAAAGAGAAACATAAATGATCCTTAAGTGAAGCCTAACTGAGACTCACCAATGCTATGTAAGAGCAACATATGAGCAATAAAATGTTCCTCAGGGGTGTTGTTCCATCACTGGTCGTTTCATTGACATGTTTATAGCCAATAATAATGACACTTTTACACATCAACTATTGGATACTAAAGGCTCTTAGGGTTAATAGTGTATTAGTAATAATGGTCATTGATTTCTTCTTTTCAAACTTATCTAATGTGTCATGCTTGAAGGACATTGACATCATTAATCCAAACCAGGTACAGCAGTTAGTGTCATATAGTCTCCACCCTAACGGCCAGCCCATTATGATTATATTCCACTATTTCTTTAGTTTATGGTGGTAGTGTCATATTCCTCTATATGTCATCGGAATTACGTATTTACAGCAGTTTCTCAAAGCTTTCCATCTGTAGTTGCACAATTCTGGTCTAATTAAATACAGCAGTGGATTGCCCGTCTCTACCACTGAGAACCCCTCTGGTATTTAACTTTGATTATGATGCGTTTGATTGAGAAATGAGCTGTGCAAATCAGCCCCATTTACCTCTGGAGTTTAATTGAGCCATTGAGTGTTTTTAGCCAACCGTATTTGGCATACATTAAATATCTCAGGAGACAACACATCTGAAATGATGAGCAATATCTCAACAGGAGCAACTGGTGATGGAGACGGGAAATGAAGCAGAACATGGAATTCTTTCCACTTGCTATGTTTACTGGACAATGTCTGTCATTTCTCATCATGATATTTATGAGCAATGACAGAAATGCTTCATTGTACACATTAAAAGACAGTTCACAGGGTCTTATCTCCTTTTATCTAACTGGAATATGGAAAAGAAGCTGAAAATGGAAGGTGGATTAAAATATGAAATGTATGGGTGAAATTAACACTTAAATTGTGCTTACACAGCTGAGTTTAAGATGCTCAGAGGAGACTGTGTGTCTGTGTCAGATTCTGCATAAAGGCCATACTAAAATATGCTGCTCTGATCCACCTAGTCCCTAGTGTCTGATGCTGCTTTTCAACTGTAAATGTAGATAAAATGCAGCTGAATATATATTTAATTTATAGTTACATACTTTTAAACATTTTAATTTTAATTTATCATTTCATCCATCATTTCATGTTTTTTTTTTTTTTGGAAACCCACTTCAGAACAAAACACAACAGATTATTGTGAGACAAAATTTAAAATAAGGAATAAAGCAACATTGTAAGAGATGGTCATATTGCAAGATATAGTTTTAATTATGAATTCGACAGTGAGCTATAGAGTTACACTTTGCGTGTAACAAAGGGAGTCGTGATGACGAACTGGGGATGCAATTGCAGGCCTTATTAAAAGAGTGTAGTCAGGACAGGCAGGTTAAGACACCAGCAAACAATCACATCCAAGGCACAGGCAAAAGAGTAATCCAACAAGACAGGTAATGGTCAGGGCAGGCAGCAGTCAATCTAAAACAAGGTAACAGTCCAAGGATCAAAACACGAGAAAGGCAAAACTAGGAACATGGAAACTAGGAAACACGGAAGGGTTAAACATTCAATCACCAGCAAAGACAGAGGCTGCGTTCCACTCCATTTTTAGACCCCACCTCAAACAACTCTTTAATATCTAAATGATTTTTTTTTTACATTTATAACAGCCCAAGCATACCTATATAAATATAGAATGCTGCACCAAACAAATTCGTAAGGGGAAAAATGTAAACAATAAACCAACTCTATAGCAGATTCCAAGTAATCAAGGGCTTAGGACGTTCCAGTTCAGCCCATTCCAAGGGTTCTGTCGTAGTGGGCACTAGTGATATTCGGTTCTTGAATGAATCATTCTTTTGAGCCGGTTCTCACTGGTTCTCAGGAAGTAACCGGTCGAGCCGGTTCACATATCGAACTGAATCTAACTTTAGTTCCGGGTTGATGACGCAGGACGCACAGCCGAAGTAGTACGTCCAGCTCAAAAAGAACCGATTGAGCCAGTTCAACCAACTGTCGAAGTTTGCCGCGGATTACCGAGGACTCAACAAGAACCGAATGAGCCGTGGCGAAGTTTGCCGAGGAGTACCGAAAATTCTGATGAGTGAGTTGACGATACTGTGCAAGCCTGAGGCACGTACTGGAAATATGCTTATTATGACTGTTATTAATTTACATTTTATTAAAACCGTCAAAATCATTTGATGTAAATCAATTTTACAATAGTTTATTGTGCATGCATATTATATTTAAAGTTGCTTAAGCGAAATCAAGGAGTTTATAAGACTGGTTTATTCATTCTTTATACTGTAGACATGTAGAACATATCCGTGTTTGTGCATCAATTTCTGTAATGTGTGCTGTAGGTGCGAAACTTTTGGGAATCTTGTCCAAGCTGTAGGCTAGTCAATATTGGTCAGTCAGTCGTATCTGACATAAAGGATCCACTAATGAAACTGTGACCAGAAACACCATTAACTTGACTTATATGGCAATAATCAGCAATATGCTTTCACATAAATAACTTTATTTTTTGAATGTTTCAATGTGTTGACACAAATGACTTGTTTGAATTTTTCATTGATACAACATGGTACTGAGTTGTTAGAAAAGAAATGTGTAGAGACGTTATTGCTTGATGACGTCAGGAACCGAAGAATCGGCTTTTTGAACCGGATCAATGACCCGATCTGTCCGAAAAGAACTGGTTCGCGGAAATGAATCGGACTTTGCATCACTAGTGGGCACTCATGCAATGTAATCAATGATGTACATCCGAGTAGTGCTGGGCGGTATACCGGTTCATACCGAATACCGGTGTTTATTTTTGTTATGATATGAATTTTTTAAATACCACAATACTAAACTATACTAAAGTATTAAACAACTTTAACAACGCTTAAACAACGTTCGGGTTCGCAGAAATGAATCGGACTTTGCATCACTAGTGGGCACTCATGCAATGTAATCAATGATGTACATCCGAGTAGTGCTGGGCGGTATACCGGTTCATACCGAATACCGGTGTTTATTTTTGTTATGATATGAATTTTTTAAATACCACAATACTAAACTATACTAAAGTATTAAACAACTTTAACAACGCTTAAACAACGTTCGGAACGCGACACTGTTTGAAAGGGGTCCCTTTTCACTGTTGCACTGTGGTGAGGGAACAGCTGTATGTGTTACTAAGCGTGAAAGTTCCGAAACTAAAGCTGTAGAACTAATAGAACGTGATGACACAGAAGAACTCATCCACAATATCCACATTGACCACCACAAATATCCACCGCCCCCTGCCATCAGCTCCCGCGTCTCACACACACGAGCGCGACTTTAGCACTAGATTTAACAACTTTCACACACTTTTAGCGGCTTTTTTCCATAGAATATTCATACTGACAAACCTAGCGACTTTTTTGGATAAACCTTAGCTATGGTTCAGTTGGAAGATTTCGCCAGTGCTGTCCCGCGAGCGCGAGGTCTGACTTTCCCGGAGAAGTGTCACCTCGCTCAGCGTCTGTTCTGTGCAGTGAGTGGCAGAGAAGCAGCGCACCGCAGCCGACTCGTCAATAAATGAGTACAAAACAGCATTTCCTAGCACCTGTCGCTTACTGATTGTTTTTGGAATTATAAATATGAGCGTAGTTCGTCTGTTAATATCACATGCACTTTTTTGTTTGTTGTTTTTTTTATTTGGTTACTCAGACGCAGGCAGTGCGCTGCGTGAGAGAAAAAGTAATATAGCCAAAACAACCGCATAGCCGCTCTTTAGTGTAGATGCATGTTGATTTTATCAGATGATCACCGTCATGTACCGTGAAATCTGTATAATCTTGAAAGATACCGTGACATAAATTTTTGGTCATACCGCCCAGCACTACATTCGAGTAAACGAGACGAAGGGCAGTTTGCGAGTGAAGGGCATAAAAAAAAAAATTACTGGAACGCAGCCAGAGAGTGTGTGTGCTATTCTTATAGTCCTACTAATGTGAGACAGCTGTGAACTGATGATGAGATCTGATGAGAGACAGGTGATGCACTTGATGAGTCCGGGCAAAGGACTATGGGAAATGGAGTCCTGAGTGAATGGCAAGGTACAGAATGGAGTGCCCTCTAGAGGAGCTCATGGGCACTCCAGCTGGAGATCGTGACAGTGCGATATAAAGTTGCAAACACACAAAAAAAATTCGCAGTTACAGGAAATAGAGTTGCAATTGTAAGATATAAAAATATCACTGGGAGAGTAATAAATATTAAAAAAAAATAAAGGAACATGAATTCACAATTAAGAGAAATATTTGCAATTGTGAAAAAACACATACAATATATTGTAATGTAAAATGATATTGTGAGATATAAAGTCTGAACTGTGAAATAAATCACGATTATGAAAAATTAAGTCACTATAAAAAGAGAGTTGCAACTGTCAGATATAGTTGCATTTGTCAGATATAAAGTCACCTTTCTATTTATTTTTTTACACAGACAGAAACAGGCTTCCATTTTTCAATAATTTCATATTTTAAATATTAATTTTATTTATACAATTGTAATTTCTGAGTAATTTATTTGCATTTATGCCGCCTCTGTGCATCATTAAACAGTTTGTGTAAATAAATCTTAAACTATGTCACAAATCACTAAACGCACTGCTACTGTAGGAAAGATACGAAGCAATGATATTCTGTAAATAGAGCACTTAGTCTTTCATTTTCAAAACAGAAAAGCTTTCTTATGATATAAAACGCACAGTTTCTCAAAGTGCACCAATTTCCTCCTACTTAGTCAATGAGAGATTGTTCTTTCCTTTGAGTATATGAGATAATTCCAAAGGTCACAAGTTAAATCACTATGTCTATCTTGGTTAAGTCTTTTTTATTACATAATTGAGTTAGTTAATTAAATCTTGAAGGCCTGTCATGCTCTGCATCCCACATGTATGTATGGTTCTGTACAAACCACCGTGAGATTAAGAACTTCTGGGGCACCTGAGGTGCACAGAAAACGTGTACTGTAATCTAAATTTAAATGAGAAACTTCAACCAGAAAAATAGCTGCTGAAAAGGAAAAACTATAGCAGTAACAAACAATCCCCACTTGAAATATCACCTCTAAAAATGCACCCTGGCCTGAATCCATTCAGGTTCGACATCTTGTAGTTACTGAGAAAAAATAGATAAATTAATTAATTAACTAAAGGGAGTGACAAAAATCAATATCCAGTTCTTTCCCCCCTGCGTAAAGTTGTATGTAATTCACTCACACACTTATAATTATGTGTCTTTCCTTGTCTGTTACTCGTACAGTGACTGAATTCAATAAAACTCACTCGAGGGGTGCCTATCGATTCTCCGTGACTTACACCTTTGCTTTTGTTCCTGGTGACACCTTCAGTACAAGTGTAATGCAGGTGAAATTGATTTATCTTGAAGTTGCTTTTGAAGCAACTAAACAACTGATGGTTTGGTGGTCAGCATGTTACCGGCCACCCATCAATGCTGAAACAAACATTCATTGGTGCTTTATTTGCTTGACAAGGCAGCTGCGGAATAAGGTTATTTTTCTTAAAACTTTGGCATAAAAAGGACTGAAGCGCTTTATAATCCTTTCTATTGTTTGGACTAATGTGGTAACTAAGACTGCTTAACCAATGTGCATCACAGCAGCTCAAATCCTCCTCCTCTTCTCCACTCTGCTCCCATTACGCCACAAGCACTAATTCTAGCTTCAATTACTACAGATGATGAGATTTGCTAATGAAGTACTATCTAAGTCTGTCTCAAATACATTCAAAAAGTACCTTTAAATATGGTTAATTAGATGCATTTTTTTACTAAATCTAGTTTAGTTTATGTGAGGGATAATGTACATTCAGACATTATTGCAAAATAATCTTACCCTGAAGGAGTTTATTTTTCAATAATGACCTTCTGAATATGCATTACACTGCTCATTACATGGCTACTTGCCAAATAAACAAATAAAAGAACATTAAATAATGAATTGAGTTGAAACTCTGTTATTAAATGAATTTATCTTAGATTAGCTTAAAGCCTCTGCAAAGAAAAACAGCCCATTACATCATAGAAAACAAGTCACCCAGCAACCACCCCAACACTGAAAATAAAACATTTATTTATAATAAATTATAATTAATCTGCTATCATTCTTTTACTAGGTATAACATATTTTGCTCTATTTTAAGTTCTCTCAATCAGTGAGCATAATGATGTACAACATTGAAGTAATCAAGGTCATTTACAGTTGGTTATTTTTAAATGTATTAGATTTGAGTCACAAAGACGGCTACTGATGTTGCAATTGATTAATCAGAAGAATGCCAGAAATACTTTGTTATTATTAATATGTTGAACTAACATATACACATACTGTTGTGGTAAGATTTACTTCCAGGAATTGTAACCTATTTTCTCTCTCACACCATCATCTCTGTCTCTACCCTCTCTACAGACTGCACTTCAGCCGTTAACACACTGCGTGATGAAGACTCCACTGTGGACACTACTGTTGCTTGGACTGTGTAACCCAGCATGGTGTGACTGCCAGAAGGATTGCCTCTTCTGCAGCCAAAAACTGCCTAATGAATATGCCTTCAACAACTTGGTAATTCCCTACAGTGTCAGTCACTTCACGTAGGAAAGAATATCACAAATGAGATCTCTTACTATCGCTTCTATACAGCAGTGAGTTTAAATGGAGTGCAACTGGAAACTTTTGCGTAGCCTCTCCAATTTTTTTTCCCCTGAAAAAAATACCCCAATAATCTCTCACGTCTTGTCTAGAGTTTCTGAAGAGATCCCAACAACATCACAGATTGTGCTCAGATTGTGCCAACGATCAGAGATTTAACATGAGCTCAAATATTTGTATTCAATTCTCAAACAGAATATACTGGTTATGCCCACCATATAAATTGTATAGTTTTATGTTCTTATATACATCAATAACTATATCATTTCAGTTTTTTTTTTTTTCAAAGGAGAAACGTACAAAGTTGATAAAGTCACAGGCAAGCAGCACTTTCATTTTCCTCAGAAAATGTACAAGTCTAGTTTTATATGTTATTCTGCACAGATCTTCTACAGCTTCCTGAATTTTATTCCATTTTCTGTACTGCCCAAGACCTATGGCCTCAATTGTATCGAATTTCCCTGAGACACGCCATTAGTTGACATAATTATAATGATCATAACAGTGGAATGTGGTTGTGCTCTGCAGCTGATTATAGCTCCGAGGAGGAGGACATGCTCTCTGATTCATGTCAATAAGACGCATTTGAGGGGGAAGAAGTGCTAATTTGGTTAAAGATGGCCCTTTGACTCAAAACAGCTGGGGTGATTCAGTTATCTTGTTGTGTAATTAAGTAGAAACACAATAACATCATTCGGCAAGGCTGCTTACGGAAACTGATGGGCCTGAGTAGCCCTCCATAGCGCAGACTCTCCCTGAGGTGTTCTGATCATTTTTCAGCATGAATGAACAGATATATTATCTTCTGATAACTAACCAGCTCCCTCGAAACTAAACTTTTAATTTAAAAGGGTTAATTTATTCCACCGGATAACAACTCGCGCTCCTTCCATTTTAGCGCGCAATGGTCATGAAGTTCACGGAAGTAACGTTAAGCCTATGGGCAAAACTTCCGGTTGATTAGTTGATTATTGTTCCAAACCGCGATTAAAAGTGTGATATTGCTTTCATACAGTTAAATAAACCGTTAAAAATAATGTAATATTGGGTAACTTACATTTTACATACATTATTTCCAGTTACAGTTAGTTTTCTTCCTCCAAAGAAATTAATTCCACAGAACACGAAGCCAAACAAGATCGACCGTTGCCATTACCTGTGTTTCCTTATTGATCGAATCAGTGTTATGAATGAATCGAGTCGATGATTCAACGATTCACTTGTAACCAGTGTTGGGGAAAGTTACTTTTTAAAGTAATGCATTACAATATTGCGTTACTCCATAAAAAAGTAACTAATTACGTTACTTAGTTACTTTTTATGGAAGTAATGCGTTACGTTACTTTTGCGTTACTTTTTAAATCTGGACAGGGCTTGCTTGCGTAACTCGCATTACTTGTAATGCGTTACCCCCAACACTGCTTGTAACGTGCAAAACGAGTCCTTCAAAAAGTCTGGCAATACGCTTGGCCAATTAAAGTCACAAAACTGCCGTATTATTAAAATTAATGTTACTGCTGCATAATTACTTACTAAATAAATTTTACCTCAGTAATGTACCATATTTCTTATTGAGACAAAAAGGGGTGACTTAATTTAATCAATCAGTAGGCCTAGCCTGTAATGTCATTAAAACCAAAAAGTGTTTAAAAAAACAACAACTAAGTGGTTGCAGGGAGATGTTGAAAATTATTTTATGGACAAAAAAAATTTGTGAGTAATATTTTTTAAGCGATTTGTAGACAAGAATTTGTAGTAAGAAAATAAATAGGGACAATTCTGATGTCATATAGCTTACTTTGCTATACACTGCTAAAACCAGCCTAAGCTGGTCTGTTGACTGGTTTTACAAGGGTTTGGGGAACTTTTCAACAAGTTAGACTGGGAAAACAGCTGCCTGACCAGCTAAAACTATCTGAACACCCGTTTGTCTTAGCAGAGAAACCAGCTTAAAGCAGCTATGGCCAGATGAGTTATAAATGATTGTTGAAAATAAAGTTGCCTACAAGACAGGTGCACCTTTATGTTTCTATAAGTGTGGCTATATTAAAGCATAATGATGTTGACAGTGTAATGTGTTTGTGTGTGTCTTTGTTCAGGTGTGTCTGGTGGAGTGTCATGGTAAACTTTCTCCAGGCGACACCTGGGAGATGTGTCGCAGGACCATTGGGGAGCAAAACCCAAAAGCCTTGCTATCGGTTGGCAATGGCATGCTGAAAAGAGCAGAAGAGGAAGAGGACACCTCTCTGCCTGTGGACCAGGATGATGGCCAGTATTCTGAAACCCTCCAGAGGTTCGACCACATAACACGAGCCTTGGGAACGGATGATCAGGACCAAGATATGCAGCTCAGTAAAAAATACAAGTTCCTGCAAGTACAGTCAGCACAAGAATCTGAGGAAGAGCGAGATGGAGATAACGAGATAGAAGGCGATGAGGAAGAGGCTGCCGTCCACCTTATCAAACGCTTTGGAGGCTTCCTCAAAAACAAGTATGGCTACAGGAAGTTCGTAGATCCTGGAAGGTCTTTGCAAAAGAGATATGGGGGTTTCATAGGCGTCCGCAAATCTGCCCGTAAGTGGAACAACCAGAAGCGTTTTAGTGAGTTCCTCAAGCAGTATTTGGGCATGAGTACTCGAGCTAGCGAGTTTAATAGTATGTCTGCTGATGTCACCCAACAGAATGAGTAAGGTTTGTCCTTTGAAGCGAATAAACTTACCCAGCAAACCATTCGTTAAGCTCATTCGAAAGATAGCATGCACCGTTCTCCTCAAACACAAAAAGCTCTCATAGTGCCACAGGGTTAGATGTGGATTTACTCACTGACTGAAGCATCTAATTTGTGTCAAAGAAAGCTTATATATATTGGCTTGAAGTTTGAAGAAAACTCTTCAGATTCAATTTGAGACATCTATAGATTGCATTATTGTATATTATGGCCCCTGTAGTTTAGTTCATTGTGCAAACAAAGACCATTTTGAAAACGTTACCGGTTCCAAATTCATCTACTTTTCGACACTGCCACCTATTGGCCAATGAGAGTTCCCATAATGAAATCTCCATGAAAATGCTTGAAATTGAGGTGAAATATCATATAGAGAGGTAATTACTTGGCAAAATAGAATTATTAAAGTAATAGTTCACCAAAAATGAAACATTTGTCATAACTCACGCACATTTTCAGCTCCAAATGGAACATAAATAAGCATTACAGTCTAATGAAAGCATGAGAAACAGACTAAAATGTAGGTTTTTAATTTGAATCTTAACCTGTGCCATCAAACCTAATTTTTGCTTTCAAATCTCGTATGCATGCATTAAAACCTGCTACACTGCAATTCTGTCATGTGTCATGCGCTAACCAATTATGTTTTGGAAGCAGTAACAATCTCAAATCTATTATATGGCTTTAGAAGACTTGGAATATAGTGCACAAGTCATATGGACTATTCTTTATGCCACTTTTTGGAGCATAATGGGCCATAATTCCCAATCTTCTAACGGTGAATGGAAAATACAACCCAATCTCACAGGAAAACATAATTTTATCAAGTGGCAATTTTGTACACAGTAAATGTACATTTCTTAAGAATAAATAAGCATGAAGATCCACCCCTAAACATAACCATCACTGGAGTGTAAGCAGATTGTACAAAAACGTATGAATGAGATTGTACAAATTCATACAAATTAGCCACCAATTCACCAAAACCGATTTATTGTCATGAGATTATGTTGGGAAAAGATTAGCTTTAACAATCTGCTTAATATCTCCTGTTGTTTTAAGGATGAAATAAAAAAAAAATGGGGTCAGAATGATATGGGCAGGAGTAATTGATAGAATTTGCATTTTGGGGTGAACTGTTCCTTTAAGGGGATTAAGGAAAGCTAATCTGTTTACTGTCTCTCCCAAAAAATAAATAAGCCAGATTTTGCATAAACCATTCCAGCAAAGACTCATCACTGTAATATGCCTATACAAACATAACAAATTCTGTTACGCACATGCACACAGAGTTTGCATCCTCATCTAACAGTGGGAAACCAAAAGCTTTAATTTTTTTTTTTGAAACTGACAAAGTTGATTTGTATTTGTGCAGATGAAATGATGTATTTATGCAAACATTGCTGAGTCATGCTTTTCCCTGTATTCTAATGATAAAAATCATGATGTTGACTAAATGAACTGTACATAGTAACTGAACTATGTCAATAAAATAGTTTACTATTTTCTGTGGCTTGTCATGCAGCAAATGATTGTGTGTCCTGAAGTATTTTGTTCATCATTTGTTCATTTGGATTTCAAACTTGTAATATTTCCCACCAGTTCCTCTTACTGCATACTGAAAGCACTCCACCTTGTCATCCTCAAAAGGACAAATATTCAAATGTAACACTTTACGGTCGTACTTGTTTGCACAAAAGTTTATTTAAAAAGAAAAAGCCTGAAGCAACATAAGTTTCATGAAAAGAAATTATACATTTATCTTGAACAGATCTCAGACAGCTCTTGACTTTTCATAAAAGAAAATACTTTGGAAGTACTTTACAAAAATGTACAAAAAGATTGTTTTCCATGAGGCTCATCGGGTGTCTCTCAGACTAGGATGTCCTTAAACAGCTATGACCATGACTGTCGGAAATGCGTAAAGATTTACAGAGATCTTCAGGGTAAGGTACATTCAGATTTATGTTGTCAAAGCATCAAGCTTTACAAAAGATGTTGAGCTACACATAAAAAATATGAAGAAATAGAAGTGTTCTACAAAGTAAGAAAATATTTGGACCCAGTATTAAGAGTATGAACCAATCAAACAGTTGGTTACAAGTTTCTCATAAATGGTCAACAGATTCATTTCACATTATTTTGCAGAGATGTACATGATGTATTATTACAAAGATACTCTTTGGCAAGAACACAATCCAAACAGATGGACAGTCAGTGAGCAGACTGGGGCAAAAGCGCAAAAGTAAACGAATAACAGTATCAGATCATGCATGTTTACACAGATAATTCCTTAATATTGATGTGACAGAAAAGTGAATCATCTCATTCCACAGAAGTATAACCTGTGACACAGAAATACACTGATAATGACATGACATAAGATTGAACACATCGCAGATATCAAAATCGTACTACAAAATCCTTTTTTCTTCCTTTTTCCTTTTCAAAAGTTTGTTTTACAAAATTTTACACTGGAACTCGAAGAAAAAAAACTGCATCTCAGCAGGTAAACATGGCATAAATGAACAAACGTTATATGTTATTAAAACATTTATTCGGCTTTCTTGCTTATCTACAATTAACCATAAGCTGCCAATTATGCCCCTGAAAGCAATGGACCACGGTAAAGACCTCCTGTCTCATATTAGCAATTAAGTTGGAATAAGTAAACTTTCCATCCATGTCTGATGACGACAATGTTTACACCACATTAAACAAAAAGTATATGGCTGCTTGCTGCTTGTAAAAGAACGTCAGACTTCATCAGTTCTTGATTTAAGATATGGGAAGACTGCAGGAGTTTGTGGGGCAGAGGCTGTCCTTTTTGCTTTATCATTCTTCCAGCACAAACATGGTTCCTTAGCACATTTCAAAAAACACGTAATCGCGATAAAAAGTAGAAAAAGTCACAAAGGTGCTCTTTTGGTTTCTTCCAACCATAGTTCCAGGTAAGACCTCTTGCGGGTCTCTGTAAGGTTAGTGTTCTGTTTCCAGGAATCTAAAAAAGGATTCAGTCGAGGAATCTCTGACAGGCCTTTTTCCAGCGGCAGGCGGTGCACCACTGGTCTCGATGTTCAATGCCGTATACCTTTCGGCATTTCTTGGCTTCGCCCCGAATCCTCCTATTAATATGATAGAAATTCAGAGTTAAATTTGACATCTAATTTCAATACAAAATAAAAATAGCAACTGACAACATTTTAAACATGGACTATGTATTTCACACTACTGTTCATAAGTTTGGCGCAGGTTTGATTTTTTTAAAAGAAATTATTACTTTTATTCAGCAAGGATGCATTATATTTCATCACAATTGTCAGTGAAGACTTAGGATTGTTACAAATTTATTTTCAAAAATGAGTTCTTTTGAACTTTCTATTCCTGAAAACAAAAGTATCACAGTTTCCACAGAAATATTAAGCAGCACAACTGTTTTCAACATTAGCCCCATTCGGACAGTAATTGTTTCTCATGGGGACGTAAGGTATTTTCAACATTTTTAGGGGCCAGTCGGTGGTTTTATTGCCATCCGAATCCAGAAAGTCTGTGTTTTTCCGTGTAAAAAAACTTCCTGCCTGAACTGGACTAGAATTAATCCATCAGAATTTAAATGTACTGTGTACAAGTTTTGTATTTTGTAGTTTTATATTTATTACTATGATGTTATTACTCTTTTTTTTTTTTTTTTTTCCCTGCCCACCCAATCTTGGTTACGTCAACAAAAAAGTCATTACAGGTGGAGAAATGTACTACGTTTTGATGGAAAAATGATGAAAACTAATTTTTTTCTTTAGAATATTTAGTAGTCATCAGTTGTACATAATAATGCCAATCATTTTCTGATTTCAAGCTCAAGTTTTTTTTTTTTTCAAACCTAAAGTTCATAAATGATTGATATCAACAGTAAGAGATTGAATAATTACTAAAAACACAAACAAATCCCACCTTGAAGTGCAATGGTTTCTTGGAGGTGAAACACTGGCAGGATGTGGCCTGAAGGTGGCATTGTTATTTTGGAGCCACTGTTCACCATCACTAACTGAACGACGGCGGAATGGTGAGCCCTGAGGAGCAGAGAGAGAGAGACCACCATTAGTCAAAGAATGACGCACTGCAGGTTATATTCCAGCTGCAAACACTACAGTACAAACAATGCATCAGTGCAGCAAACCTGTGAACTGTTATATGCATTAAGGCTAATACATGACACAATACATCAACAAGCAAGATGTTTAAAACTATGCAAGCAATCTCAAAATATGCAGATCACAATATTTTTTGCATGATTTTTCATCCTAGTGCCAAGCATGTGTTCAGACAAAGAGAACACAGTGTCCTCAACTCCACTAGATGGCACTGCAATACCATCCACATTTCTTGTGGGCGGAACAAAGCACACAAAAACAACATGTGCATGCCACTCCCATTTCCAGTGCGAAAACACAGAACGCCTTTGGGACCATGTGGTGCTTTGTATGTCCTGAAAGCCTCAGAGAAAACGTTGCATAACCAATCCATTACCTATAAATACTGCCAGCAAAAAGCCCTCTTTTAAGACATCTGTGCTGAGATTTCTCCAGCCTTGTAGATCATAATGGAAACAGTTAATCAAAAAAAAAAAAAACACACCTGTTTTCTCTGGTGAACTGTGAGAGATGGAGTCCAATGACAGGACACAGGAACAGACACTGGTTTGCTCTGTGTCACAACCTGAACGGGTGGAGGAGCCAGAGGAATGGACATCAACATATTAAACAATCATCCACGTTTGTTAATTTATGGCCAATTTACATGCAAGTGATATATGACACTGATCATATCTTTGAAGGCACTAAAATAGAAACACATTATTTAATTGCACCACAACAATGTCAAGCATCTTGCCTGGTAAGAGTGCTCAGAATGGACCTGCCAGAAGCTGCCCGGGGCGGACTGGCTGAGCGGGCTGGGCTGGAGCATGTCCGGGGTGGAGGGAGGTGGGGGCGTGAGCCGGGTGGGAATGGATGGAGAAGTGCAGGAAGGCCGGTGGCCACCAGAGGGAGTGGTCTGTTCCAAGTCCTGATAGACTTCAGTGTAGTAGAAGTCTTCTTCCCTTTGGGAGTGCTCATCACTTTGTCTGCAGAAAGCATAATACACAGTATGATTTACGATAAAAACGTCCCAGATTGTAGCATTCACTGGTAAGAACGTATGGTTGTGATATGTAAGGCTTGTGATGCTTACCCAAGATGAGAATTTCGGATGTGACGTTTGATGCCCACTACTGTGGTCAGTATTTTTCCACAATTTGGCCACAAGCACCGATATGCAACTTTTACTGAGTTCTAGAGGGCGAAAAACAACGTAAAGAAAAAAAAAGATAAGCTACATTTTCCGTAAACCAAACCCTAATATATTATTTTATTAGGTTTTACAATGTACCTTGCGTTTCCTTGCCGTTGGCTCGTTGAACAACATTTGGTCTAGTTCCATGTCCAGGCCTTCGTCAACGAGAGGGGCGCTCTTGTCCATCTCTGCGATGGGTGGGGATGGGGCGGGGCTTCCGTTTCCATGGTCGCAGCTCCAATATCCACCATCAGACAGTTCGCCACCACCATTTTCCATTCCACACAAAGCTAATACAAACAAAAATAACAGAGGTAAATGAGAAGATGTGATTCATCAAAAACGTAAATGTCCTAAACCAGTGGACAAGTGTCCAACATGTTAATTATGAAAAAAAAAAATCTTAATTATATAAATATATAATATATTTAAGTATGGTATAATACAAATTAATTAAATAATTTATACTACATAAATGTAATTCACAATAAATTATAACGTATAAATACACTACTGTTTGGGGATCAAAGATTTTTTTTTACAAAAATGAATGCATTTATTGAGCACAAATGCCTTAAGTTTATCAAAAGAGACAGTAAAGACATTTATAATGTTATAAAACATTTCTGTTTCAATTAAATGCTGTTCTTTTGAATTTTCTTTTCATTTAGATTCTTGAAAAAAAAAAAAAAAAGCACAACCATTTTCAGCAATGTTTTTTGATTTCTGAAGGAATGTGACACTGAAGACTGGAGTAAAGGCTGCTGAAAATTCAGCTTTGCCATCAGAGGAATAAATCACATTTGAAAATATATTAAAACAGAAAACATTTTTCAAATTGTTACAATATTTCACAAAGTTACAGTTGTTACTGTATTTTTGATCAATAATGATCAACATTTTATTCAGAAGTTTCAAAAGTTCAGTTTAGTCTGGTTTACTCTGGTTAGAATCTTTCAGGAGTGATACAAAATTATGATAAGCAATCCTGTACTAGCTCCTTCGTTTGGACTCCGTTTTACTAATGAAACCAGTTTGTGCAGTTGTTAGAGATTTCTTTTTGGTGACTAACACCTACCTAAGCGAGCGTTGAGTAATCTCAGCTAGTTTATGCCAGATTTGTGCATTGCATTGCTGCTTGCAACATTTCGAAAAATAAACATTAATATAATGTTCTAGTTCTACTAACCCCGAGTTGCGCTCCCTGGAGCCGAGTATTGGATGACTGGACTGCACGACAGACTTGTAAGCACCATTGCAGCCATAATCTCATCCATGTCCACTGTCTCTGGACTCCTGCAGTGTCGAAGTAGAGTTATAAAGGAATGTTTTTGATTCAAAAGGTCAGCATTCGCCATTCAGACAACTATAACAAGATGTACCTTCTTGGCACATCAATGGACGAGGAGACTGAGGAGGTAGAACTGGACGTGGGGCTCGTCCACACATCTTCCAGCTTGCGATGAACATGCTGGTTAAGCTGCGGCAGGAAGATAGACACTTCATTGTCCACGTGGTTATGCTGTTCGACCACACCTCCACATTCTTGGCCGCCGCAGTGCACATACACCTGAAACATATCAGGTAAAACACCATGAAGAGGCTGAGCACTCCATTTTTGACATTGTGTACCACACCTAAATGAGAATACCATTCATGTAAATATAGATAAAACCTACCTTCTGTCCTGGGTAAAGCTTGCTTCTGTGAAGCCCACTGTCCGGGCATCCATGGGGTCCCGTTTCTGTCAGGCCCTCCGCAGAGGAACCACACACCAGGGTGCCCAGTGGGGACCGTTTCCCAAGTCTAGTCTTCGGTACCATTTTCCGTTCCTAGCACCTTGTATCTTCTCGACTGCTTTGAAGAACTCCTGATGGAGATTCAGCAGCGCTATTCAAACGACGAACAGGAAGCTGAGAAGAGGAAACCAAAAAAAAAAAAAAGATTACTTTTTGGGCCACTCAGCACATTTTATTGGCAGAAAGAGAGCCCGATGTTCTGTAGATAGCAATTTTGTGTACGTCTCATTTGGTGGTTTTATTATGCCCCAAAAAATTCTCTCTATTTGGACAACCTGCTCTCTAGATATCAGTATCAGCACTGGAAATTGACAAACCAAATGGTCAACCAAAAGTTCTAACCAAACAAAAAAGTATTTATGACATAAAATCATATTTAATACATATATAGCCTATGATTTAATAATATATCTAAACGTGCACCATTACAAATGTATTACATTTTCATTTACAAATTCGGGAACAAATGAAAGACAGGACACTGGTGTATGCATGTACAAAATAGTAGTATTAGTCTCAACATTGTTGTCACCTGTTCAAGCTGATCAGTGAAATCAGTCTGAGTCACCAACCATCCTTATGTGAAACATCCGGCAACTAAGTGTCAAATGATTAAGACATCACAGGACGAATGATGCAAAATTTGAAGTTTACATGCAACTGTGCACAATGACTATGAGTCATTGTCAGCACAGAACGAACCAGGCAAAAACTACTTTAAACTGACGCAAGTCATAAAACTGCTATGGTCATGCTAGGCCCTCTAACCTCAGTATGTTCACCCAAGAGTTTAGCAGAGAAATTGAGCCTTATTACCAGCTGCTGTCAAGTATTAAGTTTCCTCTGTTCCAGTAAAGGATGATTCAGAGTAATTGTAACTGATTGAAGTGAAACATTTCCTTGGTTGCCAAATACTACACATTTGACAGCATGAAAGAGAGAATACTTCTTGTATTTTTTTATTTGTATTATGTATAAAGTCGTAATAATAAAGGTGAATGTGCTTCATCCAAAATGTTAATATCCTGTAAACCAGTGGATAAGAGCTAGATGCTAAAAAGTAAAGACATTTATAATTGGCACTAAAGATTTCTTAAAGAAGAATTTTCATTCAAACATCAAAGAATCCTGAAAAGTGTTTTCAACACTTGGTATTAAAATAACTGTAGAACTGGTAGGCTATTAGACAACTGAATAACAACCGAGCAGAAAAATACTGTGCAAACCATTAAAATTACTTGATATTATGTTATATGATTTACTTTATATTGTGTTTTGACCTCTTGTTGGCATGTCAATGTTGCACAACATGCAGTAGTTAGAATGTACAGTATCCAAAGCAGATGTGAACGATTCAAATTTTACTGCTAGTTTTTTTGAGTAATAAGAACTAACTTATTTTTTCTCGATTGTGAATTTATTTTTTCATCCATCCTGCATCAAAATCCGATTTCCTTTCGTAAATCTGTTAAAAATCGCAGTCTAATTACATATGAGTGATTATAAAAGTTGAATTAAATAAAATGTGTCTGACTTAATGGTTTTGGCACACGAATGCACATTCAGAACTAGGGATGGGCGTATCGATCCGAAGTATCGATATATCGATACTGACGCGAGTATTGAAAGTATCGATACTCAAACAAA